CATCCATTAACACCTGCTACTGGTAATCCCACATAACATAAGCATGAGTAAGTCCACTGTCATTCCTCTTTGGTATTTGATCCAGAAGATGCCATTGTCGAATGTATCCCTCATAACGAGTATCCGGGCAACGGAAAATCATATGTAGGCATACATATGTTCCAATTTCAAATGAACGCTGTATCATAATCGCGAGTAACTTCCACTATAGATTTAGTCCTGTGTAGATACACAGAACACATTCACCAACTGGGTTTCTACGATTCTCTGAAACTCGATTTAAAATAAGCCCTTATCATGGGAGGACAACAATTTTTCCTGTCGACGATCAACGTAATGGCCGCAAGTGTCCGGTTTGACAAGGGTTGTGCTTTGTATGGACGACAGATAATGACGCTGAAAAATATTTACAACCTGAACACACCTTCTTCGTGAGAATATGGTACAGAGCATACTTCGGCTCGTTTGCAAGCTTACTCCAAGGTACATTCATTTTTCTTTGGCTTCAAAAATTAGTTTGACGTCGGCAGCGTTCAACGGTAGATGTTATGTGAATGGTGGAGAGGATGATGAGGCACGACTCACGGTTGGGTGGCGACAGGAAAAAAAAAATTCTTGAGTTGTGGGTCGGAGTTGCAATGAAGGGCAGCCGACTGTGGGAAAGAGGGAAAACGGGCAGTTCTGGGCGACAGAAAAGGCAAGAGCAGGGTGTTTCCTAAAGCGCGTGTTCGTGTAACAGGGTGCCATTGTTTGCGCGGTGTTTGGATTACCATAAACAGTATTTTCGTGTAACGTTACACAAACACAGATATGCCCAATTGGGTGAAAATTTTGAATTTTGCAGTTGTTTGGATGGCTGAGAAGGGCAGTTTGGGCAGTAAAAGGCAATGATTTAGGTTAAGCTCTTGTTGTTTTTTCTCTCTTTTTCCCTCCCTTTTCCTTTTTCTCTTTTCTTTTTTTCCTTTTCTCTTCTTTTTCTTTCCGTTCACTTTCTCTTTTTAGTGACCGGTCGGCAAATTGCCTTTTATTGAAAGTGGAACTGATGTGGTTCAAGAAGACTACAAATGGCAACAGCTGTTACCACTTTGAGAAAGTGACGCACAGTTCATGGTAACCAAGCACAACAGCCAGGTTTGCAGTGCAGTGACACATCGCCATAGCAACCGAGGCTCAAGGCGACACTTGTGAAATCAGCAAAGAAGGAAAACGAATGAATAAGTACCCTTTCTTTTCTGGGGATTTTTTTTTTTATTAAGATGGTCCAAAGCGACCCCTCATGTTGCGGTGAACGACTCACATGGGATACTATTCTGATTTATTTTTTTGGTTGGCCTGAACATCATTTCGGATTTGAGCATTCACGATATCATTTTGGGTACAAGTGGAATTTATCATTGAAAAATGTGACTTTATTCACGACGAAACTTGAAGCATGATTCTTTTCTACTTATTGTACCGCGCTTACCTTGTTATCATCAAAAAGCACTATCGACACTTACACTTATTGCCTGTAAAGCTGAGAGAATAAAAGCCATGGACAGTCTGCCTTGCATTTTGTTCAAGGTGAGTAATTGTAACGATCAATGCTGAGGTAGACAGATTTCAGGAGGTTTGCACAGCCGAATTTTCTTGCATCGTTGGTATCAGCACATTCTGCCATCATCCAATGGCATCGTGACGAAAGACTTCAACATCCCCATAAGAACGTCTTTTCGTTGTCATACTTCTTGTGCGATCCTGAGTCTCGGCAATACTGAGTCTTGGCGATCCTTTCCGTTGTTGACGAGGCAAGCATACAGCCACAGATGTTGCCTGATTTGGGTGATCTCATACAGTGTGTGTCGGAGAAAAGTTTGCGACCAGAGGGGAAGCCTTGGTATTTCCGTCAACCACACAAGTGAAGTCCTCAAGAAAACCTGTCACCGATTTCCGGAGCAATCGCCAAGACCATATTGGTGTCAATGTTCGGTACAACGGATGAAGAGTCTGCTCTGCGTTGCAGGCATCGAATTCAAGGGCGATGATCAAGCAACTATCTGCGGGGGGCCATGATAGACTTGGGGGTAGTTACAGCTTGCTTTGCGCCCACCAGTTGTAAATAACGGCGGTGCTTTGTCTGCCTTTCCAGTTTTCTGCAAAGCATGCTGACCGCAACTTGACTGCATTGGTCGTTGTTACAATCGCCATCAGGATCAGTTATCTTCATCGTGACAGGGTGACATGATGTTCCCGGACACATGCCAAAAGCCTGGCGAAGCAATATTTTAGTACCAGGATGAGCGGCCTTGATTGCAAAACAAACACTTACCATAAAGGGACGACTAAAAAAAAAAAGAGAATTCATATCGATTGACGCCAGTCATCCGTACCTCATGCCACGTCCACCACGGATACTTGGGCTATTTTTCGGGCGGCTCTCTCTGTCGTTTAATCGTTGTATGTTTCAAAGCGACGACCAAGTTTCCCTTGCGTGCCAGGTTGACCAGATGAGCAGAGATAAAAGGTAAACGGCAGATGCAACGCCCAATCTCCCCGTGAAAAGCGCCAAGTATCACAGACAATGAGGTGACCCCAAACAAGAGCTTGACTGGTGATACAAACTAGTCTTTGATTTTCCAACGCCTTCAACACCTGATAATCTTTTGTCCTGCTTTCTTAACCTTGGTGATGCTTCGACGCATCCATCAGTCGGTAGACCATGTCACTATGTGGATAACAGCAGCGCCAGAAGAAGCGAAAAAACCGACGATGGCTTGTACTTCACCCCCCTCAGTTAACCTTGAAAAGGAAATGATTAGTAAAGAGATGCGGGCACTCGGCATGTCACGTAAAACAAACCTTAATCAATCTTGGGCCCAGCCTTGATTAACTCCTTCCGCGTTCCTTGCGTGTTTCGACGGAAGCTTCGCTGATGGTATCTCCATCGGGGTGTCCTTGATGGCAATCATCATCAGCAGAATCAGTCCGTGGCAACATGTCACCCCTTGGGGCCATCGTGGTGCACCGGTCAAAACCTAGGCAAACATTTCAGTACTTGCATACACGACCATGATTAAAAAAGAACACTCACCACAGATAGACAATCAAAAACAAAAGTCAACATTGACCAAAACAAGTAGAAGCGCCTGCCTCAAAATAATCTGTACCCCTTCACCCTATGCACAAGATTCTCTTTAATTTAGTAAAAAAAAAAAAAAATATGATATCGAGTTGCGCTAGTCATCCGTACCTTATGTCGCGTCCACCAGGGATACTTGGATCTTTTCGGGAGGCTGTCTCTGGCTTTCAACCCGTGCATGCTCCAAAGCGACGGCCAAGTTTTTCTATGAGTGGCAGGCTGACCAGATGAACAAAACGTAAAAGCAAACGGCAGGTGCAACGCCCAATCTTCCGTGAAAAGCGCCAAGTGCCGCAAAACAAAAGAGCTTGACTGGTGATACAAATAAGCCTTTCAGTTGCCATACGCCTTCGATATCCCAATGATATCTTATCCAGCCTTCATTGCCCGGATGATGTCTTAAGTTCGCTTTGACGCTTCCGTCGGTCGATAGATTTGGCAACATGTCACCGTGAGCAACCAGCAGCAATGGAACGAACCTCTCCCCTAAGTTAACCTGAAAAGGAATATTTTAGTAAGAGGTGCGGGTACTTGGTCTGTCACGTAAAACAGAAACCTTAATCTTACCTTGCACTCAGCAGTGAAAACAACTGGTTTTGTTGATTGATTTCTTGCGCGCTCGTTGCATGTCTTTCTAGTTTCGACGAAAGCTTCGGAACATACTCATGGTATTTGCATTGGACTTGTCCTTCATGGTAACCATCACCAGGAGAGTCAGTCATCACCACGGTAACATGTCACTCCTTGTGGTACATCGGTCAGAATCTACCCAAGCCATCACTTTCAGTACGACGTTACGTGACTTTGTTAAGAAAAACACTCACCATAGACAGACAGCTCAAAACAAAAGCCAACATTGATCAAATAAACAAAGCGCCGTCAAAATGTTTCTTTGCCCTAACCACGAATTTTCTTTAGTGCCGAAATCTTATTGATTTCAGTAGTCATCTGTACCTCAATTGCATCAGCAGGGGATACATTTATCTTGTATGGACTGTTCTTCAACCGGCACATAAGCAGCGCTCCAAAACGGCTGTCAAGTTCGCCATGGGTGCCAGATTAACAAAGTGAATCACATATGCAACGCCCAAAACCGCCGTGAAAAAATTGCCAGGTATGACAAGGAAACATGCCTTCATCCCCAAACAAATCAGCCTATTTCGTGATACAAGTAAGTCTCTGATGTTCTATCCATGAGTGGTCGACATTGCGATGACTTACCATCCAGCATTCATGCTTCTGACGATGTTTTGGAAAAGCCTTGATACATTTGCCAGCTAGGAACCATGATACTGTGAGTGTCAGCAGCGATGAAAAGAATGAAGAGACGGACGATGGCTTGTACTTTCACCCGTAAAGTTAACCTCAAGGAGAAATATCGTCAGCAAGAGATGCGGGCACTCAGTGTGTCACGTAAAACAGAAACTTTAATTTTTACCTGATGTATCACCGCCAAATACAGAGCCTCCCCCAATCGTTGAATTCCGTTGCTGTTGATTGCTCGGACCGATGATCATTGGCGCCGCCTTTTCTTTTCTGTGAAACTCTTTGATAATAAGCTGCCAGCACCTGCATGCACTCCAGTCATTCCGCCTAATTACCTTATCATTTTCGTAATAATGAACGATCGCCATGCTGATCATAGAATTTCTTGCCGACGATTCTCTCACGCACTATGAAAAATAGCGAAGCTATCTTTGAGTTATCGGAAACGCACCTTTAGTAGAAAACAAAGGACTTACCCATTGAGAAATAAAATAAAGCTATCACCGAGACGCGTCAAACGATTGCCATTGTTTGCACAAAATTGCTTCAGCAGATGTACATCAAGTCGCGCTTATCGCACCTCATACTGCTTCAACCATAAATAAAGGGGCCACCATTACCGTCGGGCGGAATCTGGTGATAATACAAACAAGACCACTCATTAGTGTCACAAACAGGAGAACACTATCAGTCATCAACAACTTACCATTTTTATCTTCATCTCCGTAACGTGAACTTTCGTAAAATCGCGTTCCCAGGACCACCAGGCCAGGCGAATAAACCGTCGCCCCAGATTTGTCACTTATCGTCTGGGTCATCATTGAGAATAAACGCGCCTTGATGGTAGTTCGTGCGTACATCCTAAATTGTTCATGTCGGTTAATTGCTGAGAACATGTCGCGAGAATCTTTGACACCATTCGTACCTGCATGTCGCCAGGTTTGAGCACAAGTCATTGCGGTTGCAGTGAACATTTCGTTTTCCAACGCAGCACCTCGACTTTGTTCCGCAATTGCCGTAACGAGTTCCATGAGTGTCGAATCAGCGAGGTGACAGAAGACAGAAGTTAAATCGCAGTTGTAATGTCAGCATCGTGAAAAAAAAAAAAAAATCAAAGGCGACGAAGAAATGAGAGGAAAGAACGAAAGGGGTGAAAAAAAAAACACTCCACCAAAGATGGAACTTTTTAGTGTCACGAGTGGCCTTCCATGTTCCACCGTTCATCGCCATGATCATGTTCACCGTTATCGCGACGTATTCTCCAGCAAATGGATGAACAAAAACCGGACCAACAGCAAAGCCATTTCAGTTTTAAATTCTCAGAAACCCTTTACAGCAAAAAAAAGTTGTATCAGTAAAGCTTTGGTCTTCCAGGTAAAACCAAACTCTTAATTCTTACCTGGTATATCATCGCCAACTACATCTTTGTCTTGCTTCTTGGAAAACTGTTGCTGTTGATTGCTCGTCTCAGGGTCGATGCCAGTTGTCTACAATAAAAGCTTCGATAATATGCTGTCAATGCTTATATCACATCGCTGATTTTTTTTTGATAAGTTTACCTTGCCATTTGCTTCATGCCAGCCATCAAGAAGGCCACTGTCCGTTGTCATAAGCAGGTCGAAAAAGGAAATAAAGACTAGCAAACCATATTTTTTTTTCAGTACAGCGAAACGCGCCTCCACATTGAAAGTAAAAACTCACCGTAGATGAACGACTGAAAGAAGTTAAAAAAGGGTTCTCCAAAGTAAGGCTGGCGTCTCATATCATTGCAGTCATGAATGTACACTGTTGCTGCCGACAAGAATACTGCAACCAATTAAAATGACCATTAGTGTCAGAACACACAAAAACTGTCTGCTGTCGACAGCTTACCATCTTGACGCGCACGTCTCTGAAGTACCGTTCAGTGATCTTTTGCAGCGTCGCTTTGAACACTAATCCTTTGTCGTTAATATGAGCATTCGGCTGTACATCGCGGCTACATTGTGATTCGTACCAGAGTCATCGCCAAGTCTTCATCTGAACTTTGTTCCTCAAGGCGATTAAGTGCGTATTGCTCGTTAGCTAACAGTGCTGCTTCTGATGACCCAACCCCATGGCGAATCTTTATTCCAAAAAACGGTGCCATGAGTTTGAGTCGGCTAGGTGCACGAAAGAGGAAAAAAATAAAAAATAGGTGTGCCCAACATGGGACCAAACAAAAAAAAAAAAAAAAAAAAGAAAACGCCAGACACACTACGTGTTACAAGTGCTGCAGCGACTTCAGGATGACCTTTTTCAGAATCAATCTTTCACATTCATTGCCAGGACAATGCAATGAACGATGCCTCCATTTACTCTCTCGTCAGTGAGTGTCCCCACCAAGGCGTATGTCTGACGACGATAATGGAAGAAGTGCCGGTACTGGCGATAAAAAGAGGTATAATCAGTAAAGAGATGCGGGTACTCACTCAGTCTGTCACATACTGTACAACAAAAACTGTAATCTTTACCTGATGTATCACCGCCAAATACAGAGCCTCCCCCAAATCGTTGAATTCCGTTGCTGTTGATTGCTCGGACCGATGATCATTGGCGCCGCATTCTCTTTTCTGTGAAACTCTTTGATCATAAGCTGCCAGCGCCTGCATGCACTCCAGTCATTCCGCCTAATTTACCTTATCATCTCCGTAATGATGAATGATCGCCACGCTGATCAGAGAACTTCTTACCAACGATTCTCTCACGCACTATGAAAAATAGCCAAGCCATCTTTGAGCTCTCGAGACGCACCTTCAAGTTGAAAATAACGACTTACCATTGGTCAATAAAATAAAGCTATCACCGAGACGCGTCCAACGATTGCCACTTGTTTGACTTTAGCACAAAATTGCTTCAGGAAGATATACGTCTCATCGCATCTCCTACCGCTTCAACCATGAATAAATGGGCACTGTTGCCGTCACGCGCAACATGACATGATGATGTCCATGATTATCTCGGCGCGTTCTCCAGTAAGTGGACGTAGGAACCTCTGGATCAACAAAAGCGGAACGACAGCAAAACATCCTTTACAGCAAAAACCGTATTAGTAAAGCTTGGTCTTCAAATAAAACAAACTCTTATTCCTTACCCAGTGTATCATGTCTTGCCTCCAACAGTTGGAATCCGTTGCCCATTGCTGTTGATTGTTCCCTTCAGGTCGATGCCGCTTGTCTGCGAAAAAATTCGATGATATACTGTCAGTGCCTATATTACATCGCTGGTTGTTTTTTTCTGTAAGTTTACCTTGCCATCTGCCCAATGCCAGCCGTCGACATGGCGAGTGTCCAGTGTCCAAAGCAAACCGAAAAGAAAGACTAACAAACCATAATTTTTTTTTCAGTATAGCGAAAAACGTCTCGATATTGAAAAATAAAAACTCACCATATATGAACAACTGAAAAGAAGTTGCCAAAAAGATGGTCTCTAAAATAAGCCTGCCGCCTCATTCGTTCCAGTCATGAATGCATACTGTTGCTGCTGCCAAGAATACCGCGACTAAATAGAATGGTCATTAGTGTCAGAGCACAAAACTGTCTGATATTCACAGCTTACCATCTTTACGCGCGCATCTCCGAATTCCGTTCAGTGATCTTCCGTAGAGTCGCTTTTCTCAGAGTAGTGCTGTGTCAGTGCAATGTCGCTTTGATCACTAATCTTGGTCGTTAATAATGAGCATTTCGGCTGTACATCGCGGCTACATCGTCGTTCGTACCTGAGTCATCGCCCAAGTCTTCATCTGTACCTGCCTTCGTCGCAGCGATTAAGTGCGGATGACTCGTTAGCTAACAATGCTGTTTCGAATGACCCAACCCCATGGCGAATCTTTATTCCGAAAAACGGTGCCATGCGTTTTGGGTCGGCCAGGTGAACAAAAGAGGAAAAAAATAAAATAAAAAGATAGGTGCGCCCAACATGAGGCCAAACAAGAGACAAAAAAATATCCCCCAAACAGATTTCGCGTTACAAATGCTGCTGCAATTTCAAGATGACTTTTTTCCAGAATCAACCTTCCCTATACATTGCCAGGACGATGCCAGAGACGATGCCTCCATTTGCTCTCCCTTCAGTGAGCTTTCGCACGCCAACGCTGTGTCCCATCGGCGATATGGATGAAGTGCTGGTACCGGTAATAGCTTATAATTTACCCGTAACGCTAACCTTAATTAAAAGAGGTATAATCAGTAAAGAGATGCGGGTACTCGACCTTCCACATAAAGAAAAAACTTTAATCTTTACCTGATGCGTCTCCATCAGTTACAGTACAGCTTGTGTTGCTCAAATAGTTCGGAATCGCTGCCGAGATCTCGCCATTTTTCCGCGAATTCTGTCCTTGGCACATCACCAGCGCCAACGAATACTGATCATTTAGCCGATCTGCCTCGTTATCCTGTCAACCTATGGAACGATAGACTGTGAAAAAATCATTCTAATAACGCCACATGAAAATAAAACTCACCATGAATCGTCAAGCACAAAAATTGGTCCAAATTAAGGGAAAGTGCCCGGCGCCAACTGGTTGCCTATACACAGAAACTTTTGTTACAATCGGAATAATCTTCAGTCGCCCTTGTCATTGTGCCACTAACCTTGGCTGAACGGATACTGTTGTTGCCGTTTATTTGTGCAATGGAACCCGGTAGAAAAAAAAAAAGGAGAATCCAAATAAAACAACCGCTCTGATGCTACCATAAACATGCGTGAGTGCCACAAGCATAGCAATACCATCAATCATCAACGTCTTACCATTTTGGTCTTCATCTCCGGCTGCGAATTTTTCGCCAAGTTGCGTTTTGTTTTTTTCCCCCAGCAACAACAGTGTCAAGGGAATGGACCGCCATTACCAGTGTGCCAGTTATAAAATTTGTTCACTGATAATGTAAGCTTAGTGTGCCTTGGGCATTGAATGCGTGGGAGATCAGAAAACGTTTACCGGTTAAGTGGGGCTGTCCGAATAAAAAACGATGATGGCAAAAACGAACGTACGGTACAGGTCATTGAGGCTGCGAAATAAAGGACGATTTTGGCGTGTAGCAGACGTTTTGAATAATAAATCAGAACAAGAAAAATATGAGCATTTCGATGCGGTAGAAAGAAAAAATGAGGATATCTGAAATCCACCTTCTGAGCAATGATCCAAATATCGTGCGGCGTTGACGAAGAGCAGAGAAAGATGGTTGCCTATTTTGATTGCTTGGGATCTGTTTGTATTGCCGAAAAAAAAAATTAGTTCCCCCCCGAAAAAAAGTCCCCTTGATTTTGATTTTCAGTGTGAATACAAACCATGAAAGTGTGGCCTATCGATCCTTTAGACCCCTCAAGATTTGAGGCTAGAGGTGCCAGAAAAGTTACCACAGGGATAACTGGCTTGTGGCAGCCAAGCGTTCATAGCGACGTTGCTTTTTGATTCTTCGATGTCGGCTCTTCCTATCATACTGAAGCAGAATTCAGTAAGCGTTGGATTGTTCACCCACTAATAGGGAACGTGAGCTGGGTTTAGACCGTCGTGAGACAGGTTAGTTTTACCCTACTGATGTTGTTATGGTATTGCGACAGTAATTGAAGTTAGTACGAGAGGAACCCTTCATTCAGATAATTGGTATTTGCGGCTGGTTGAAAGGCCAATGCCGCGAAGCTACCATCTGCTGGATAATGGCTGAACGCCTCTAAGTCAGAATCCATGCTGGAAGCGATACTTTTTTGTTGTCTCCTTGGCTTTAGTCGAGTAAGAATAAGCCCCGCTGTGGGGTTGGGAACCGTATAATTGGTATGCCTAGGCTATGCGGAAAGGTGTTGTTTAGGCTGCCTACATGGTAAAACGAATGCATGGAGATGTTAAATCGCATGCAGACGACATGAAACGGACGGGGTATTGTAAGTACTAGAGTAGCCTTTGTTGCTACGATGTACTGAGATTAAGCCCTTGTCATTGAATTTGTTTCTTTTTTCTGCAAGGAAAAGAGACACACTTTCAGTAGATTGATTCGGCATTATTGGGATGGTACCTACTTTGGGGTACTATCCCAATTTTTGTCGTTTAGGCTTTGAGTAGTTACCTAGCAACGGTTTCAGCTTGGCCTATGCAGAGAAATATAGGCTTCCAGTTACTCTAAGTTCTTTAGGTACACTGGGCTGGCTTGGTACAAATAGAAAGACAAATCAAGCGTGGTGGGTGTATCGATGCACGTGATTACCAATATATCACTCTGTAAAATATTGTTTGTGAATTCTCCATGCACAATTGTGTGACGCCGCGTCGCTTCAATGTGTTACCCGTGATGCCACTTGTAATGATCATCATTGATGAATGTGCACGTGCCAATTTCCCTGCTTTTTTTTTTTTTTAGGTGTGTGTGTGTGGATTTCCAAGCCTGGTGTTACGTAATCGAATTGACAGTGTACCTTCCTATAAATAGCTCGATTAAATTGCACGCAAATAAAGAATTAGGACCCTTTCATCTGACCCATTGTGTCACTGTACTCCAGTAATACCGACATTCATTTTGATTGATTTGCATGAATGTTTTTCTTTAAAAAAACTCATTTTGTGTCATCCCTTCTATCAAATTCTGCTCCAATTGATCCTTTGAAGATTCTATGTCCACCAGGTGTCACAGAAGCTCAATTGAGGTTGTCAGAAGCTCAGATGATTTAGGGCAATGATAGCAACATAGTTTTTTTTTTTTTTTTGGCTCTTTTAGCCCTGGCAATCATAAAAATTACTCTTTCTGCCATGACCTTTTCATCGTGATCATTTCCCAGTGGCACTTTCATGGTGACCTTTCTATAGTGATCTTTTTCCAATGACTGTTCTACGGTAATCTTTTTATGGTGGCTCTTCTGTGGTGACATTTTTGTAATGACCTTTTTTTGGTGATCTTTTAGTAATGTCCTTTTAACAGTGTCCTTTTCGTAGTGGCTTTTTTGCAGTAACCTTTTACGATGATGTTTGTACGGTGATCCTTTTACGGTGGCCCTTTTTATGTATGATACCTAGGCATAATCTGATCATTACATCATCTTTTATTTACTCCAATTTTCACTGCCGTCAGCAAATGAAGATCATGTAACCATACACTGTGTGAGTTAAATACACTCACAACTAACTAAAAATGACATTTGTGACTGTACCTTTTCGATCGTTTACTTCTTTGAACTGTGTTCAATGCCTCCCCAACTCACATTAAAAAGAAACGAGAAGACAAAAAAATATTAACGAAAAAAATATTAACGGACGTCGACACGACGACATTCACAATGTAACGACAAATATTTGATTTTACCCTGACTTTTTATTCACAAATATATCTTGTGCAGGATTTTGGGTCAGTTTCCCGAGGAATATCGGTCTTGGTTTACATCACCTTGGGTATCGAAACTATCATCGAAACTATATGAGTTGCCTCCGCTCAAACGTCAATGTCACCCCTCTTTCCTATTACCATTGTCGCTAATAATAATAATAATAATAATTATAAAAACACTCACAAAACTTACTCTTGCTCACAGAAGGTAACAATGATATTACCAACCATAATTAGAGAGAGAAACGACATCCACTGTCAGGAATTTGAAGTGACAAGCTACCCTTACATTAAGTGGTCACCACTGCACACACAGTGTCCGTTGCTTTTGTTACTTTTATCCAAAACCACCAATATTGACAGGTTCATTTGTAAAAGTTGTCTGATTTAGTTCTTCTTCTTTTTGGACGATACTCTACAAAATCACTTTGAGCCCTGTTTCAAACCAAAACCACTTTTTAATATAAATCCACCACATCGTTTTTCTTTCCATATTCCTTCTGTTTCGACCTTTCTGTTGTCACCCTCTTTTATTATTACATCTTTTTACTTTTACCATCATCATGTCCAACTACTTTATTCCTGACCTCGTTAGGTATGATTGCCCTGTTCTTTTTGTTGGAATCAATCCCAGCGACAAGGCGCCCTTCCGAACAAAGAATCACTTTTTTGGGGGCCGCGGCAATTGCTTTTGGACATGCTTCTCAAATTCAGGTACAATTTCACAATTTTTTTTTAATAATAATTAAAAAAAAAGATGTCCACTGAGACCGGTACCTCAACCGTCAAAAAGGCTTGCTTCGAGAACAGTATGATGCCACCGCTGACAAGACAGTCTTTGACCGTTACAACGTGGGGTTCGTCAACCTTGTTCCCAGACCGACGACCACGTCCAAGCAACTTGAAGCGGACGAAATCGCCGAAGGTGTTCGCCACACCACCAATAAAATCAAACGATTCCGGCCAAAAGTCGTATGCTGTGTTGGGAAAATCGTTTTCCAACACCTATTCAACCAAAACCCGGCCATTGGCCCGCAAGACGTTGTCCTGCCCTGGGACAACGGAGCTGGAGCATCCAAAGTTTTTGTGATGCCCAGCACAAGCAAACTGGGGGCCACCTATTCTTTAGAATTCAAGCAACAGTGAGTTTTGAGAAATCGCAAAAACGACTTTATTGCCTTCAATATTTGACTTACACTTCATATTTGACAGAACCTTTTGCGAGCTTACTCACTTTGTACATAACACTTGCATAGCATCCACCTCTGCCACCACCTCCACCTCGACCCTAAATAGACAATAAAGTGTATACCCACTGCGACCTTTGCATAATGACCTTCTTCAACAGTATGCCGGAATTTCTGCTGTGATTGTATTACACCGCGATACCCTGTTGTGTCCTTTTCATGATGACCCTTTTTCAATATACACCGCGATTCTCTGCTGTGTCCTTTTTATGGTGACCCTTTTTTCAATATACACCGCGATTCTCTGCTGTGCCCTTTTTATGATGACCTTGCACTTGTACCAAAACGAACTTTTTAAATGTCAAAAGTTAATAAAAGACACCAACCTCTCTTTCTTCCACGTGTTAATCAATACCTAAACATACATCATCAGGATTGTACAATGGGTATGGATCCTAAAGCAATTCATCGTCTCCAATTGTTGATTTTTTAGAACCTTCATCAACAGAGATAATCTTCTGGCTCAGTTTTTGCCACCGACTTTTCCAAGTAGACAAAGTCCTCTTCTCCGTTTTGTTCGCCCTACCATCAACGCAACCTTCCTTAGCATTTTTTTCTTTCCCTCTTCCTTGTTGAAACCTACTTATTCACGTATGACTTACTGCCTAAGTCTTGACTCTCTAAAATGGTTTTAGAGTAGGATCACCTTTTTTTTTTTTAATCCCCATGCTCAGCACCAACTGTCTTTTTTACCTTTTTCAACTGGTTCAACTTCATCAACGTGGGCATTGCCATTAGCGACAGGTTTAACTGCAGCAACTTGTTCTTCCATAGCATTTTTTTCGACGATATCTCGTTTAATCGCTGCAGCTACTTCTTCTATAAACTTTTTTTTTCTTCTTGTATCCTTCTTCGTATCCGTCTTCAAATCCATGGAAGTATCCATGCCGGTACCCGCCTCGGGCACCCTTCTTGTATCCCTTCTTGTATCCCCGACTGAATCCATTGTTATATGACTTCTCAACCTCGTTTTCGGCTCCTAAAACATCCACGCCCTCTTCTTCGGCGTAAAGAGGTGCTATTTTTTTTTTTTTTTTTTGGATCACCCAAAATCGAATATTGAGTTAGTTTCATCTCTTATTGATTATTCTATTAGAAACTGACTTACTGGGGAAGTTGCATAGATTTGTTTTTTCGACGTATGCGCCATTTTTGTCAACATGTGCGCCGTTGTTTTTAACGTGCATGCCATCTTTTTTAACAAGTACACCATTTATTTCAATAGATCCAACATTTTTTTGAATGTCTGCACCATCACCTGAAGCCGAAGGCGGACACATTGTGGAAAATATGAAAAAGAAAAAAAAAGAGGAAAAAGAGGGAATGGCTCACCACTTGTTTTTTCTTTTTTAAAATAATGATCCCCACACAAAGAGTACACATGATTCCCCCATCACGGTTTACTTCAAAACCAGGTTTCTCTCTACTTTCACACAACTACTCACATGCACAATATTTTATATTTTTATTTTTGGAAAGACAATACATGCATTACAATTTATTTCGGCTGCAAATTACCCGACTCATCCGGTGCTTCATCTTCCCCAGCCTTATCATCTAAACAGTATAACACTTAGTTGACCCATTGCCTTTTAATAAACAACGTTTTCGTACCTTTCCCACTTGCGACCATAATTTCACTCATGGAATAATGTAATTTTGCAAGTGACGCCAATTCCTCCCGATATGAATGAATCGGTTTCTTTTTTTTCGCTGTGAGCACCTCTTCTTCTTCTTCTTTCGGTTCTTCTTCCCATTCAACCCAGTTTTTCTACCCAGTCTTCTATCGATTCTTCTTCTGATGCTGTCTCCTGTTCATGTTTTGGCTCTTGTTCTTCTGCTTTTTCTAATCGTGTCACTCGCTCCTTTCCTTTGGACCTTTTGCCTGAAGGTTTGGGCAAAGATGGCTCATAATGTTTCATCTAAATAACCCTATTACATTTTCGCTCAACCTGCTGCTCAAAAACTCTATGCTGCACACATACTTTCAATTTTCCTAGTGCTATTTTTTTGTAGTTCCGGTCGATCTTTGTTACTTATTTCTACGCGCACAGTTGACGAATCTTGCTCTTCTTCAACCGTGCTTACACTCCTCTCGGCCTCCTAACCAATATTCAGATACTAGTATTGACGTAATGATAATGCTTTCTTTCTTTTTTTTTTTTGCACTTACACTTCCAATGACATTACTACCAACTCATAATCATTAGCTATCGTGCTTTTTGATATGTATATCATTAT